GTTATTGTATTTTGCACAACTCTGTTGCTTGTGAAGCTCGCACACAAGAATTTCACTTGCATGTGCTGTACCAATGTACCTGCACATGTGATGTGACAATAAAAGTGATTTGATTTGATTTGACAGGTGCCATCGAGAGAAAGTGTATTATCAATTATTAAGCAAATAATCATAAATTAGCAGAATGTTAGCATTCAAAAAACATTTAGAAGCTTTAAAATACTTTTAAAAAATGATAAAAAGTTTGTTTTTTTAGAAGAAAGGGTTAATAATTATGGTAGCAGATTAAATCCATTACTACCTATTTACTGCGGTAAATAGGTATCTCGAGAGCCAAATTAGTCAAAATGACAATAATTGGTAGTAAACACACTTTCTGTAGATGAGTTCTGTAGATGTTTTATGATAAACAATGAGCTGCTCCTTAACAATAGTTCTTCAGTTAACTGCAGTTTTGTTAGTTAACCAGTAAAGCAGGTAGCATGTGCAGTCTTGTCTAGCTCTCTCTGAGACTTTGACATTGTTGCTAATCGAACTAAATGAGGAGTTAAATATCTACCCTGACAGAGAGGTTGGGCGTGCATGATTTGCTGAAAGATGACAACACTGTCAAGAAAATTCCTTAATAATAGGTGATGTGAAATTAAACTTGCTGGAAAAATGCCATTATGAAATTAAAAGAAGCAAAGAAACCACTGCACATCTGAAAGAACAACCCCATGCACGCTGAAGACAAAATTGCCACAGAGAGGATGACTGAGTGGTGGATGAGATCACAATAACTTCATGAAGCATCCGTGGGAAACAAAACATTAGCAAAAACAGCAGGAAAAAACACTGCTGGCAGCATCCAGGAAATTCAGGTCAAAGGTCACTACTGAAGGAAGACCAGGAAGGACGTTTTCACGCCACTGACCAATCGAGTCATAGGCAAGTTGGGGGAACGTGTAGATGGAAATCTACACGTTCCCCCAACTGTCCCCGAGTCTGCTTCAGCAGGAGCTCTCCTTTGAAAATGGTGTTCTTCATCCCTACTGTCACCAAATGCTTGCTCCCAAGGCATCTTCAACCGTTCTTTTCCTAATATCACAGTGCCCTGAGATAACTGTTAGGTTTAATGTTTCTTTTTAAATGAAAATAAATTGAACTTGGGGAAAATAATGCCACCTGCACTTGCATTATTTGCTGATGATAGCAGTGAGATGTGGTTGAAAGCTCTAAAAAGCTCGAAAGTATGCTGTTCTATATTTGGAATCTCAAATAACCGTTTAAGTGCTTTGTAAACAGTGTGTTTGTGCCTCAAGGCATCAGAAATGTCTGCAAATGCCATAGAGGTCAAACAAAAAGGCTTATAAAGTTGCCAAAGTGGTTTAAAACAGTCAGGTCTATTGAAATCTCTTTAGGAAACATAAAACTAAGCAGCTCATTTTAGCTGATCCCCTTATCCGTTTTAGATTAACAGTGAATTAATGCGGCAGTTGGTAAATCCAAACCCTCACCAGCATAAATCACTGGTATAAAAGGCCCGGTTATGATGAGGCACAAAGACTTATCTGTTTCACAAATGAGCACTCCAGCTACTCAAGCCCTCCCCCGCACCGCTAACAAACTTTCACGTCTGCCTCACATAATTAAACACGTTTGCCGGATTTGCCCCTACCGAGAGGAATTAAACAGTCCCACAGACAAACATTAACCCAGGCCCTGACCCCGCAGCTTGTCAAGAAGATGAACGTCTGAGACTGGAGGGAAAAAAAAAACAAAAAAGCAGCATTCCATTTCCAGTAAACCAGGAAGGGGGAGGGAGAGGGGGATTTTGGGAAGTTTGGTGAGTCATCACTTTTTCTTTTCTGCCGACTCTTCCCCCATTTGGCATCGCACCGCGGAGTTTGAATACCTCCACGGCAGATTGGCCCATCATGCTTTGAATGACTCCCCTCTTAAGTTTTGACAAGTGCCTCATATTGTGCGCTTCTGGTAGGGGGCTGCAGCTGTCGGCACGGCTGTCAACCAACGCGAGAGCTCTTTGTCGGCGCCGGCGGATGCCTCGCTTTGAAACCCGAGGAGATAACGAGGCTTACAGTGCTAGGAAAAAGAATGTTAAAAAAAATAAATGATACAAGCAAGAACTTGAACCTGTGCTCGCTCTAACGCGCGTTCCTGTTCTTGTGGGCGTGCGCGTGTGAGTGTGTTCGGCAGGTTTTTAAGCGATCGGGTCAAATGCAGTGGGTGAGATGAGTCAGTGGATGTGTCTGACCGTGCACAGAGTTTATTACTCGCTTAACTTCATCTTGTGTGACAATAACATGCTGATGAAGGCTTGTAAAAATGATGACAGTGCTTAAAAATAGGAGCTTTTGCAGCAGTTTCAGGAGCGCACCATAATGGAAAGTAGTGAAAAAAATCTTGTGGAGAAAACCACAGCTTTTATTGCGCTACTCTCTTCTCCTATTTTTTTTATTTATCCCTTTTGTGTGACCACTCAGTCATCATCAAAGCCCTCTTTCCCACTAACTGATCATCGACATCATTTTGTGGTTGGGGACTTTCCCCAGCTGGCCCCCTGCACACCGCACAATAACACCCTCAAAACCTTCTATTAGGGGCCCTTTAGCGCGAGGGACCAAGCTCCTCTCTCCCCTCCACTCGTTACACACACACACACACACA